CCCCCCCAAACAAAAAAAAGACAGCAGGTGAAAATAACCCATTTGTTATCTGACAAGAAACTGTTCCTATGATCTCTCGAACTGGCAATGTTTTCCCGTGTAGATATTTCCACAACTCGACAGTCGACGCTCTCCTATTGTCAACGTGTTTGCTTGCACTGTCTGTCTGTTGTGATCGGATACACACACAGGAAACAGGAAACAGTAAAAAAAAAAAAAAGGGGCGGCAACAAATAATTAAGAAGCTGCATTCCGTCTTCGTCGTCTGTTTCTCGTGCGGCGGTTTGGATGTTTTCCCCGTCTGCTTCTACCAACACCATGGCTTCTACCTAAACCCGGGAACAACACTCGTGGGAGGTTACTTTACGACCTAAGTGAACGACGTATGAGCAAAGATGGCCCCGGATTCACTTGCGGGAGTGCGAAAGATTCACTGACTTATGAGGTACGAGTGATTACGGCACAGCAGCCAGTCTAGATTTTTTAGGCAGGACTAATATGTTTTACGCCCCTGCCCTACAGATGCAATTTAGATCATTTAAGAAGCGGGCTGCTTCGACCCTGGCTGTTGGTCTGTGCCAGGCGTGTAATGTGGGAATTGGGAATAATGTCCCGTCAGAAAAATAGCAATTACATAAAATATATTATTATTCTGTACTTCAAAACGAAGAAAAAAGTAATTTAATACAAATAATATTAAAGTCATAATAAATGCGTAACAGTATAATATAATAATGTTTATTATGTACTGGCGATTAGAACAAATGTACCACTTTTTGATTTCGCAAAAATTCTATCTTTTGAGTCTTTATGCGCGTTCTTTTACGTGAGTAATACAAAGTTGTCTAAAAAATAGGTCATGTAAAAAAAAACAACCCATTTTTATGCTTCACAGCACCAACACACCAAAAGTGGCACTTTTCCCGGCCACATGGAGAGTTTTTTTTAATCCTTTGTCTTTAAAAATAAAGTTTAGGTCTTTGTAAATATTTTTTAAAAATCTCTAAAACATTTGATTATTGTCAACCAAGAAAGATGGCAGGTTAACTCAACATCAAGGGAATCGAGCAATTGGCATGTTCTGCGCATTTCTGCTGTTGCCAGGACATTCAACCTCAGTTTATGTATACTAATGTGTATAGAATTTAAAAAGAAAACCATAAAGAAATCCCCAAAAAACCCAAACCCTCCACCAACACCCCCCCCCGAAAAAACAAAACAAACAAACAAAAAAACAACAACAACCAACAACAACAAAAAGCAAAACAAAACCGGAGACTAATCAACATCAGGTGACCTAAGCGGCTCTGTTCCCAAACAAGGTGTTTCTCACCTGATACGAACTGGTAGCGAGCCTTGAAGCCGCTGTGGTAGCAGCAGTCGTCCTTTTGTGTGCCCGTGGACAGCACTAAGACGAGAGTATTGCTCTCGGAAACGATCACAGGACGCCTGAAGCGTTCCAGTGTCACGTGAGATGACCCTTCGGAGAACCCGTCGTATACCTGGTGGATGAGAGAAGATAAAAATGGAAATACGATTAAGTGTTATTGTTTTTTTTCTGTTGTGTGTGCTGGGTTTTTAAGATTATCCGG